CCCCAAAACCCCAAAACCCCAAAACCCCAAAACCCCTACCCTGCGATTATTTTTAATTTAATCAATTCAGAACATAATGGGAAATATCAATGATAGACCACGGTTTGAGCATGGAGATATCTACCTTGAACTCCATCTACCTTATGCAGTCTCCGGTGAAAGATTCACAGGCAATGTTCATATTAATCTTTCTCAGCCATATCCGGTTAAAGCATTGGATATTGGGATAAAAGGCAAGGAAAAGATTAGATGGGACAGAAGAAGAACAACTACAGACACCTTTGAAACTGAAAGAGTCTGGAAAAGTGATGAGCCTATCTTCAAAATCTTTGAGATTTATCAATTTGAAGATGCTGTTGCTCTCCCTGGCCAGTACACTATTCCATTTAGCATCTTAATACCAAATGGATTACCCTCAAGTGTTTATTATTCTGGGAGATCTAATTCTAAGGCAGTTATTGATTATTCTATCAAGGCAATCATGAGGCAACCAAAAGGCACAATGGCCAAAGAGATGTCGTTTAAGTCTTCTCTAACAATGCTTGAGGAGCCTCCACATATTTCTCAAAGTATTAGTGATTCCGTAGAGGCTCCCATCATGAGCGGATGAGGATGCGTCAATAATGGGACAGTCAAGTTTAGAGTGAGGTTCCCTAAAGACTCATATGCAATCAATGAGGTCTGAAATCTTCAATGAAGTGTTGATAATTCCCAGTGCAACTTGCCAGTCCAAAGTATTAGAGTGAAAATAAAGCAATACGTCAATCTTAGAGGACCCTTATGGCATACTCTAGATAGATCCTATACTAAATTAGAGAAAGATTGTGATGGTGTTGAAGCTAATCAATCAACAGGAGAATTCGGTAGAAACATCAGCATTGACTTAAGTTCCATTCCAGGAACAATCAACGAAGGGATATTTCATGGAATAGTTACTGATCTTGATGAAGAACGTGAATTAACAGAATATATCCAACCTTCTACAAATGGTAAATATACTACAATTTCATATATCCTGTCTGTAAAGCTGATCTACAACGTAGAATGTGGAGAGGCGCCAGGGTGTGAAATCCCTCTTTATATTCATGCTGCTAAACTCCCTCCTCAAAATCTTATTCAAGCTCCAGAAGGATGGAATCCTGTGATACTAGGAGATGAACAGTATGGATTGCCTGTCGATCCTCCAGAAGGATTACTAATCCAAGACGAGCATTCTGATATCTCCTTGCAAGCACCTCTCCCAGCTGCAGACTTTCCAGCTCATCCTGCAGCTCCATTGAAACAAAAGAAGGAAGGGCTTGAGGAGACACTTTTGTAAACATGGAGGTAACTTATTGATCCTAATTCAATCTTATAAGTAAAGATTGGGGTTTTGGGGTTTTGGGGTTTTGGGGTTTTGGGG